TTCTTCACTGTCATCTTCATCATTGATGTTATCTATGTTATCATTTGATGGATTTAAAATGGCATTTTTAGCAATACTTCCAAGTTGTTGGACTTTGTTTTTCAGAAAGTCAAGACAAAGAGGACAACCAGCTGAACCATTGAGGCACTCAAGATGGAAAGAGTGAGAACAGCCATTCAATACTTTCCATTCTGATAGAGGTTCTGATATTTTACATGATGGTAAGTCACATTTACTGTTCTCATTTGGTTTTACAGCACACTGGTAACCCAGGGGTAATACTGAACATTTTAAAATGTTATTTGAGAAAATAATTGGCATTTGAACTTGTGCTTTTGTAGGGAAAGAAGCTTTTCCAGGCGACTGACATATTTTGTTAATGATAGATAAGAGAAATTCTGCACATCTAACTTTAAGAAATTTAAGTTGATTGTGAGAAAAAGAGAACTTTTTTGGAGCTGTAAAGTAGGATCTGAAGTGGCTTTGCTTTGCTTTTGATTGGAATATTGATTTTGCTTTTCGTCTTAGTTCTTCAGCTGTGTCAGATGGTTTAGTTTGAGCGCGTAAAATACTGTGGGTATTTTCAACAGGATATTCATCAGTAGTAGACAAGTATTTGATAAGCGTATTGTACATTTGTGGAAAATTTCGTCCCCAGTAACAGCACATGTTTAACCACACTAAAGGGGCTTTATTGTAGTGACGTCGCCCTAAGCATGTGAACATAATCCAAATTCTTATTATAGTTCGAAAATATTCCTGAAAATTGTTGACTTTAAATGTAATACTATATATAGACAGTACCAGTGGAATGTAATTGTCCAGTAGATTAAACAATGTAGAATATTCCAGATCTTTAAATGAAGATAATTTTTCAATAACAGCTGTTCTCAGTAAAGTCCAAGCACCATATACAATTTCGAGTATTAGACTAATGCGCCATGGTTTAGGAGTGTTTGGAAACTTACTTCGTGSAAAGATATACTCATAAATGCTTCTAAAAAAAGGATGATAGTTCATAACAATATTTTCTCTGGCATTTAGGGAGATGTGTAGAGGGCCAATCATTGGAACAATGGAGAGGAGTGTTGGCTGGAGGGAAAGATTAACAGATGGATTTAGCTGAGATTCGGCTGCTGAAGTRAAAGAGTAACAGTGATCAACGTCTAATTGGCTCGTTGTGTCATTTGTTTGCTGGCCAGCAAGTACTTCATCAGAACTGTTGAAATGCCCTTGACTACCAACGAATTTTTGTAGAGATGCATAGACAATTTGTCTGCAATAAAACTGGCATGGCCAGTCACCTGGTTGTAATAAAACAAACCTTCGCATATATTCAACTAAACCAGTTCCTAAAATTATGTCATAAGCTGCTTCAAAGTCACTTTTGCATTTAAGTTTCAATTCCATAAAGTCAACAAGCAGAAGGTTTTCCATTTTTCTCATTTTGCGAACATCGTCATTGTCACAATATTGATGAGTATTAAGGCAGTCCCTTTCAAGTTCAGGGTTGAAAAATGCAGTTCTGACCCAGTTTGGCATAACAGACGAATAACTGAAACTTATATCATGAAGAACAGCTGCTGATGTTATTAACTTCTCACACTGTGAAATATCTATACCATTAGGTTCATAAAGCAAATTTGCATTTGTCATAGGAATAGCAGGAATATCTTTAAATGCTTTGATTATTATTGTATACATGTTTTTAGCTTCAGTTAGTTGTTTATCTTGGGGTCTTTTCTTGGTGTGAATTGATGTGTAATCATCTACAACTAAAACTAGTAGATACTGGTTGGTTATTGCATCATTAATAAAGTCTTCCAACCCTTGATGCTGTTCTTTAGCTAGTCGATGTTCAGCTATGTTTACTGTTCTTCTTGCACACGTAGCACCTATAATGTGTTCTGTATCTATACCTTCCTGATTTATTTGATTTGTTCTTAGATATAAAGAATGGTCCATTTGAAATGTGTTACATGTTTGTGATAAGCTATAGCACATCTGGTGTATTAATGCAACAACTCTTTTTCTATTTTGAGACATCCTTTCTTTTGAATGTCTGCTGGTTGTAATTGAAGAAAATAAAGTCTGAAATAGAGTCTGGGCACCTGCAGAAATACACATTTGCTCGAATTTGTCWGGATCATAGACACTAATTTTGCCAGCCCTTTTGTTATTTTGAATTTGAGTTTTCACGATTTCTAGCTMTTTAGCTATGTCACATCCTATAGAAAAAAAGAACAGTAATTAGAATGGGCCAAAAAAGAAATTTATCATTATTTTTGATTTTTCTCACTTTGGGATAAAATTGTAAGACCACTTTCCATTTCTTCAAATTCCTCTTTGGGTATGGTAACCATTTCCACATTGTTACTAGTATCAATATTTTCTTTTCCATCGTTTTTGGTGCAAGACCTACTCAGCTTTATTTATCTTCCTCTCTTCAATACGTTTTTTCCAACATACTGAGGACCAGAATAAAGTAAAAATCCTTAGTGTGTTCAAGAGAGACGCGAACAAGAATTTAGTATCGTACGTATAATTTCACAACACTCGCATAAAAAATACTCACAGAAAAAAATACTTACATGATGGAAAACCTTCCCATTACATCTGTGTTCRTTGACAGCTTTCCTACAGGACTCACAAATAACTCCATTGTTGTTTCTTGTTTTTAAATTGAAACACGAATCAAAATATTTTTCGTAGGTTTCTGCTTTTTGAAAAGGGTTTTTTTGTGTTTTTTTGCCACAAACTTCACAGCCTCTTTTAGCCATGAAGTCGCTGCAATTTACAAATTCAAAATACGAACAGCTGATAATAATGAATGACAGTGAAAAAGCAATGACTCGGAATGAAAACCTCGCCATTATTGTTTCTTTTTGGAAAAAATGCCATTTAAAAAATGGCGCGAAACTTGACGCGACCGCCCATTCATAAGTCACGTAAGGTTCGTCACGAAAGCCACGCATAAACATCATTTGAGCCCGCGTTTCCGTTGCTCTGCGCACGCATGCGCAAACCAAATGCCTATGTGCTGTCCCTTTGAAGATGATCACAATGATGGTCCTAGCTATTACTGTTCAGCATTGTTATAGTTTTAAAATGTTATATAATTTTTCTTGTCCTCATTATGCAAAGCACGCATTGCCGGTTTCACGTTTTAATGAAAAAGGAAATAAAAAATCTATACAACATGGTAGCGCAGTCGCCATGCAGACAGTGCTATTTCAGACGTTCATTATGCTCTTTCCTAATTTTAATTAAAATCTCAAGAAAATCTCAATATTAAAATTGAGAAAGATCAACATCACTGCAGTTAAGCTCCCTGACATTTTTCATTCAAAAAGTCGGTTATTAAAACTGGATGATCATATTAAAACTATAAAACTGAAGTAGCTTATACAGGAAATCCATACAGATAAACCAATTACTATTTTCTCACTCGACACCAAACACACCCAGCAAACAGAACAAATGACATCCGATATGTTCAGATTCTATCACTCGGTTGGCTTGACCTCATTTCAACATGAGATGAATGTACGACTTCCAAATCGAAACAAAATCAATGTTATATCGCTGGTTTCTTGACTGTTTTTTATCCCTTGGTTCCTTTTAGACGCCAATGGATGCGGTAAGTATACTCACAACTCACTCACAATTGATCTAAGTTAAGTTATTGTAGTTTTTCCAAATAAAAAAGGCCGGCCGGATATATATTCTTATAGAGCTTACAAAGTTCCTTGCTTGTATTTGTTGCTTTGCATGTTTTTGATGATATATCATTTTATATTAATAAAATGGGATCCTTCTAATCTACATAAGGAGAATATTTTTGAATTTCCACATTCCCAGTACAAGCTTCTATTTCGCTAAAATATTTATCTATGCAATATGCGGCGGGGGAATATGGCATGTAATACATTCAGAAAGCTTACCCAAGTCAAATCCGCGACGTATTCCCCTACACAATGGATAATACTTGCACCGGTAACAATCCCAATAGCTATTCTATGAAATTGCATGTCTTTGAGCCGTTTTTAAGGCACAATGTCCATGACTATTATCATATTTAGAGCATTTTCTGTCCTCTTTCTCGCTTTAACATACAACCATGCTTTTCCCGCTCAGTTGTCAACATTCTTCAAGTCGCTTGACGCATGCGTGTGGCGCCGATCCAACATGGCGGCCTACTTGTTGTGTTTGACTGCAGATGGAGGAATTCCTCTTTTTACAAGAACTAAAGGCAATCTACCTCAGGTAAACCATAATTATATATAATTTAATATCATTAGGAAGATATATACAGGTTATTATTGCATGTTGACCTTTTTTTCATCGCTGCAATAAATTTTAAAATCTTGTCAGGCGGCGTACTGAGATTGCAAGTTTATAAAAAATCCGCWAAGTGTACAGAATAAGCTTTGATAAGAAAAAGAGACGACGAAGAACATTCATCCACTATGCTAACGGTCGAAAGAACTTCATTTGTTTCTGGTTTTTTCATTTGTTAAAGTTTGTCCAGTTTGTTTTCATAGGAAGACACAGGGAGACCACGATTTTCGCATAATCCAAAAATGTTTGAAATTCTGTGCTTATGTCCAAGTAATGACTTTGCATACGTTTAACAGTATTAATGATCTTCTTGTTTGTGCAAAAGAGAACCACTTTTCACACTTTTCAGGCCTGGCTAATAGGTGAATTTGCACTGATTTGCACTGATTATGTGACCTGCAACCAGCTCGATCCCCTGATGCAAGATTTGACATCAAAATTAACTCCAAAAATTAAAAGAGCRTCTTGAAATTAGTGTGAAGGATCAGATCACAACAGTGATTAATGGACAAAGAAATACAAAAAGAAATTTAAGGATTGTCTTACAATGTATAATAGCACTGTCCACAAAAGTTGGTCCATGCTCGACACCATGCAAAAACACTACTTTTTCTCCAATGATTCTTAGAAAGCTCTCATATCAGTGATACCAAAACTTAATAACTGATAAGTAGATGCCGGATATTGACAGTTGCTGGTTTCTAATGAAATCCCTGTTTGAACAGTTTGCTCTAATAGGCTATGTGTAGCGATATCATTTTTTGTGGCAAAGCATTCAGATGATAGTTGCAGTCCTCATACAATACAATAATTACATTTCAATGTCACCAAAACGCTGAAATGTTTCTGTGTTTTCTATGCCAAAATAGATGTTCTTTTTTCATTTCGGTAAAGAAAGCATAAAAAAAGGCTCTGAGGACTACAGCTATTTTATCATGCTTTGCTGCACAAAATGGCGTCGCTGTACATTGCCTATCAAAAATTGTCTCTCAGAGTCAAATTGATTCAATTGAATCCAAGTTTTATTTTTTGTGATTATATTGTAGCTACCTTTTCCTGTTATTGGGTCACTGAATGGAGTTCACATGTTTGCAAAAAATCAGGATGTATCCTTGCTTAAGACACTGACAGAAGAGGCAGTTGTAGTGTGGAAATCKTTTCATGAAAGGTATAATTTTACAATTGTATTAAAAATGAGATGTACATGTATGTGATCA